AGAGGAATCCAGGTTCCGTTTTGTGGTTTATTTCGAATGGTTGGTTTTGAAGAGAGAGGATGAGTTGAATTGCAGATAGTGGACTTGTACTGCCCGTCGTCTGCATGTATCTATGTAGATTGTACTAATGAGTCTAGAACTTCGGAAAATAGGATAGGTTGGCGGTAGAGGGACTGAAATTATTGACATTTGTTTGGGATTAAAGTTAGAGGTATGGATGAAATCATGTGGAGGAAAGAGGAGAGCCAAGAAGAGGACTCTGAGCAATAACTGCACGGAAGAAGCAAGCAGAGGGGAAAAATTCGGTGAAAAAGACAAAACCCATTGTCATGGAGTCTAATTCAAACTCATAGAGACCCTGCAAGATAGAGTGGAATCACTTCCTAGGGTTTCAGAGACTGTAGATCTTTATGAGAGCAGAGAGCCTCCCTCATCTTTCTCCTGAGGCGTCCCTGGTATGTTTGCACTGATGACCTTTCCGTTAACACCACCAATGCTTAATTCACTGTGCCACCAAGGATTCTTTAAAAAGGAGTAGGAGACAACCCAAATCTTGGTGTGTCACAGAAACCAAGGCATGAGAGTGTTTCAGAAAGGACAGGGCTGTCTGCATTTGTGAATGGCCACACCGACCTATAAAAGCCATCCGGTGAAATGGAACACACATCAGCACGATCAGGGAGGAGATGAAAGAAAACGATGAGCACATGGAGATCGTGAGAATTACTCGTTCAGGCGCCTTGTCCAGAAGAGGAAGAAAGAATTAAGGCAGTAGTTAGAAGGAGCCAGATTATAGACCACAAGTAGCTATCCCAAGATTATCACTGCCGCTGAATGTCTTGGAACTAATGGGTACCTGCCATTGTCTTCTCAGGAAGAAGAGTCACAGCTCAATTGGCGGTGACGAGAGGAGTTCAGCCAGAGGAGACGTCTGCAGATGGAAAAGCAGCGCAGGTGTGAGTGTGCTCGCACTCCGCATTTCAGAAACCCGGAAGGCTGGCAGATTTTCGCTTCACTTAGATCTCGCTCCCTCCTTTCCTGGTTCTCTCCTTCCCCCCTCCCTTCACTCACCCTCTCTTTCTATACACAGTACCCACACACAGTTATGGATGTTCCTGGGGTTTAGTAGTGTATTGATACATATGGGCTTCAGGAATTTGTGGGGAAAATGGAATGAAAAGATAATGGATCTCTTCCAGATTTTTTTCAAGAGAATATACACGTAGATATAAATAGATAGATAACACATTTTTGTTCAAATAACGTGTGCCTTCTACGCAGCTGCCTGTTCCTGCAAAGATTTCCCCTGAGAGAAACTCTACGGAGCCGGTCTGCTCGGTCCCGTGGGTCGCCGGGAAGCACCGTGGCCGTGACGGCCGTTTTCTAAGCACTCGCTTTCCTAGGAGGTCTTCTTGTAAGGGCTACACTATGCCAATTACTGCAGGTGTTGTGGCTTAGAAAAACAAAAACAAAAAACCTAGCACAGTGTACTTACCAAAACAAACCAAAAAAGCCAACTCCTGAGAGAGGGAGCAGGTGGCAAACAAACGTAGAAACCATCTTATTTGCATGAAAACTCTCTTTGCGTGTGTGTGTGTGTGTGTGTGTGCGCGCGCGCGCGCGCGCATGCGCGTGTGCTTGTGTGCGTGTGTGAGTGTGTTCCCTGGTGTCATGAAGAGGAGCCAGTCGTCAGAGGAAAGTCCCGAAGCTTAGCGCTACCTCGTCTTCCAAGAATCTTAATGTCGTTTTGTCAAATGACGCAGATGCTTCTCTCTTGGTCTAAAAATTCAGATTTATTGTAAAGCTACCGAAAACAGTCAAGTAACATATTTTTCTACCTCAACACAGGTTTTCTTAAGAACTGTTTGAGGCGATTTCCCAGTGTTCTAAATAAACAGGCTGATAACTAACGATAGTCACAAGCCATGCTGTGCCCACGTCATGGCTCTAGGCAAGTGAAGGCAAGGTTTTCAGAGAGCTGCTGTTCCTTGATCCGCGCCCAATAAGAAGGAGCTGTGTCCTAAGCAAGAACATTTTTCATCATTTACAAAGCAGTAATATTTCGGCCTAGCCATAACCTTAATGCTTCAGGAATTAAATAACACTCATCTAGTCGCCTTGATGCATGGCCACCCGATTTTTAACTCTATCTCTTGGAAGGAGGCATTTTTCTCATGGGGTTATCTGCTATAATCGTTTTACGTCTAGAGGGACTCAATATTCTTATCCGAAGAATACAGGGAAAGGGTGAATTTATACGTGAAAAAACTGTTTTTGAAAACTTCCGATGGAGACAGCTTTTGGGGCGCATGGTAAAGATTTAGGCTGCGGACATCAAATGACTAATAACCAGATCCTACTGGTTAAAATGTTTCTTCTCCTGTCTGAAGAGGAAATAATAAAGTAACACACCACTAAAAGGTAAGAATTGCCATCACAGTGGATCCGTGATTAAACGTCTCCAGATAACAATTCTAATATAAAACACTAAGTCATTATCCAGCCTCATTTTAATTAAAACTTGGTTCCACGTCACTCTAGCGCCGAGATTGTAATGGAGCAGCTTGCGATGGCCTCGTGTATATTGCTGCAGTTATTTGGCTAGCCTAACTTATGATATCATCTCTTCCGTGGCAATGTAATTAAAACAGTGAAAGAGCTGACCTTTGCTGTAGATTTTCTTTCCTTGGCACTAAAAATATCTCAAAAGCAATCTGTCAATATGATCTTTCAAGCACAATCCTGCTAGTACAGAAGAAGAAAAAGGAAATGAAAAACAAACAGGCATTCAGGTTAATATAGGACAGCAAGTGGTATCGTTGTAAACCAGAGTCATAAGGCTGTCTGTCTCTAAGGAGATGTAAGTCATTTCCTTAAGAAATAATGAACAGAAGTCTCTCGTCTAGCACACGGCATAGAATAAGAAAACAACCAATGAGACATTTTTACCCTTCTCTGGCCCTTCTCTTAGGCTTTACCCTTATATGTCTTTTGATTTGGATAGCCCTTAGAGAATTCAGTACTGTGACTGATCCATCTCATGGAAGGCAGGGTGGTGTGGTGGCTACGGGATGGACTGTCAACCACTTGATCAGCAGTTCAAAACCACCAGCTGTCCCCTGGAGGAAAGATACAGCTGTGTGTTCCCATAAAGAGCTGTCGTCTCAGAAATCTGCAGGGGCAGCTCGGCCCTGTCCTGTAGGCTCACTATGAGTTAGAATAAACTTGAAGACCTTGAGTTTGCCCTTTTTTTAAAATTTTAAATGGGAAGCCTTCTTCTTTCCAATGGGCATCAGAATTCTGCATATTCTATAGGGAGCAAAATTGAAATGAAGAAGAACCCCTTGTCACTGGCAGTTCTTGTCTTCACTGCCCATGTTGTGGGGTTGAGATTTTACTGCTGCCCACAGGACAGATGCCATCTATCTTTGTAGCCAGGGTGCAAGAGGAATGTTTTACTTTTTTCACTGTGTCAATATAGGCTTCCTATTTGAACCATAATCTGATGAAGGAGAAGGAGAAGGAGAAGCACTACAGAGAAACTGGGTGCAGTTCATGAGGAGGAAGAAATCTTGTTAACAATTCAGTGTAGGATGGAGGTAAGGCACCAGTTTGAAGGTCATACAAACCCGAACCCAAAGTTAACACTTTTATCACTCTCTCAAGAGTACTCCTTAAGCAATATACTAATCACTTCTGAGCCCCTGCCTTGACCTACACAATAGAAATGGTATTACCTATTTTGAAGATTTGTTGAGATAATATCTGGTACCTATTATATTCTTAATTATAAGTATACTCTGTTTTCAACAGTAAGAAAAATAAAAAGTTCCCTCAATGAACTGAGTCATTACAAAGCCACCAGTTTACCAATAAAATATAGCCTTAAGTGCTAATGACCATATTTATATTGTCAATCAGCTGGTTCCAACAGTAAATGAGTACACTTTAGTCAATAAAACACCATCACTTCACTAACCTAACATTTGTTTCAAGTCTACTTCAATTTATTCACCATGCACCCATGTATTCTCAGCCCTTGCCAACATCCATGTTATCTGTGATTTAATGACCGCTTCATAACAGACCTGGTGGCATAGTGGTTATATGCTTTGCTGCTAAGTACATGGCCAGCATTTGGAGCCACTAGCTGTTCTGTGGGAGGTGAATGAGACTTTCTACTCCTATAATGAGTTACAGTCTCCAAAACCTACAGGGACAGATCTACCCTGTCCTATAGGATGGCAATGAACCAGAATTGACTCAATGG